GTGGATTTCCATCGCCGGTTGCGGTGAGCACTGTCGTTCTGCACTTTCGGGAACGTGTGACGATCGCGGTTGGACGTGCGGATCCTCGCTGTTGATTCGTGGTCTGCGGTCTTCTGCACTTCGCGACGAGCGAAACCTCGGTAACGTTTATGGCGATGGCGTCGGAGGGGATGGACATGCGTCATGCGCTATCGAAGGCGGAGAGGACTGCGGTGGCAGCGGCCGTGAGCGTCGTCCTCTTCCGGTGCCACTTGGAGAGGGGCGAGGGGACGATGAGAGCGGCCATTCGTGCGCGGCGGAAACGGACGCTGCAGTCGCCGTCTGTGGGGGGCGACGACAACGCTGCCATTTGCGACGCCGTGCTGCAGGTGTGCTACGCCATGGGGTGTGGAGCGTTCCCCAGAGCGACGCCCAGATGGTGGATGAAGCGACGTACAGGCGGCACTTGGGAGGATCTCCGGCTGTGCGACGACACGACGACGGACTACTTCAGGGAGAAGCTACGAATGTTGCCACGTGTATTCCGAGAGATAACGGAAGCTCTGTCTCCCTTCCTTGAGCGACGTGTCACTTTCTACAGGGAGCCCCTACAGCCAGACCAGATTGTCGCCTACGCTTTGTACAGGTGGGCGTCGGGGGAGACATACGAGAGCGGGACATGCAGCTTTGGCATTGGCAGATCTTCCGGGTTGGTGGCGGTGCGGGATGTGACTGCGGCGTTGCTCATTGCGTTCCCTGACAAGATCTCGTGGCCGACGGGTCTGCAGAAGGCAGTCGTCTTGCGCGCTTTCGCTGACAAGGGTTTCCCCAACTGCCATGGGTGCATCGAGCGCACCCACATCTTCATCGACAAGCCTGCTAATTGCCCCGGGGAGGACTACTACGATAGGAAACGGGCTTTCTCCGTGCAGGCACAGGTCGTCGTGGATTTGAACTTGCGCGTGCTGGATGTGTTCGTCGGTTACCCGGGAAGCTGCCACGATGTTAGGATCGTCCATCTGTCCAGTTTATGGGCACGCGCTGAGGCGGGAGAGCTTTTCACCGGCCCACCTGTCATGCTGCCTTTCGGTGTGCGTACGGACGGATGTCTGCTGGGGGACAACGGGTACCCCCCCTCTGAATGGGTTGTCGTCCCTTACGGCGGTGTATCCCAAAACCCTGTGGAGATGCGCTTCGATAACAAGCAGAAGACGGCGAGGGGCGCATTGGAGAGGGCTTTTGGCAGACTAAAGGGGATGTGGAGGTTGTTCCTTTGATCCCACAAGACGAACATGGAGACGTTGCCGCAACAGTTCGTCGCCGTCTGCATTCTCCACAACATCCTCATCGACTCGGGCATCCCGTTCAACGACAATTTGCTCTGGGAGGTGGGGCCGGATGGTGTTCGTCGCAGGGTGGATCTTGGGATGGATCGTCACGTGAGGCAGATGTGCATGGAGTCCTCCACAGGGGATGCCCGCATTCTACGTGACGCACTGGCTGAGCGAATGGCGGCACAGTGAAGATGCCGAGGCGAGCGGAGGGATCGGCCTTGATGGCGTCGCTGAGGCGATTAAACGCGGCCGTGTCCCGCGGGGTGGAAGGTTGAAATCGTGGCGAGAAGACGCGGGGTGCTCCATGTCGTGCAACGAGTTGTCGCCGTTGTGTTTGTCGTCCATCGGTCGGATCTCGTGAGTAGTGTGGCGGTGGTGGGCGTCGTACTTTTGTTTTTCGGGCACGCGGCGGCGTGTGTCTGCAGTTTATTTCGTTGTGTTAGGATCCGAGCGCTGTCGGGTGCGTGACTGCGCCGGGGGCAGACTGCGTTTGCGCAGTCGAAAACGTAGGCGAGGAGGGGCGATGTGAGAAGCGCCCACGTGCAGACAAGTGGTTGTTGTGTAGTGCGCTGTCACTATGGCGACGTGTGAGGGTGGCAGGCTTATCGTGTCGATCATTGGTTTTATTGTTGTGTTTTGGTTGATCTTTTCACTGAAATTGATTAATGACCCGTTTTGTTTTCCACGCTCTGTCTCCACGGACGTGTTGTTTTGTTGTTGTCGTTTTTTTTTTTTTTTTTTTTTTTTTT